CCTGCCTGTAGCATATTCTGGCTTTTCAACAGAAACGATAAGAAACTACAGCCGTTCTCTTCTCCTCATGCCTTTTAGACCACCCCTTCAATGAAAGGAATGCAGTTAGAATTCAAGAGTTGAATCATACTGTTCCAACCTGTCCTCCATATTCTATCTGCACCTGTTCCTACCTGCTCCTATGGATCCTGAAAAAAATTGAAACGGAAATATTTGGATTCCATATTCTAAGTGTCTGTCTTTTAGTGTATATAGTTTTTGAATGTTTTTGCCTGAGATGTTGAGACCCTAAGATTCCTTGCAGGCTCTCAGAGTTGCAATGGGGCATTGCCGACACTCCTGAGGCCGAAAGTGGGCTGGATTTGGGTGGCAAGTTTCTTGTGCTTCATGGCATGTGTTGGGTCAACCATCACCCCCCAAGAGAAAGGCCAACATCGGACGCTGGAGATGTCCTCGATGTCATATCCTTGGCTGCTCACAACATCCCACAGGTCCAATGCACCGCAACAGAACATCCCTGAGTGTCCTGCCAAGTGCTTCATGGTTCAACAAGAGAACCTCTACATCAACATGCACCGGATGATTCAATGGATCATGATTATCATGGGAGATTGGCCCTGAGTCTGTTGGCCAGGAGGAAGAGCTTCGATGAGCTTGCTATGTTCAGCCTTCGATTTTCCCAAATGATCTCACTGTCAGTAGGACTCTTCGTCACCATGCTAGCATGCACGGCATGCATATCCACTCCGCATACTTGGATCCACCAAGCTCTTGCAGCGTTCCAAGAGTTGTATTTTTTAACATTAGTAGCCTACAATATATCTGAAACGAAGAACGCACGTCGATCTTCCAGGGCAAGGAGATGAAACAGCGCTGGAAGATGGCCTGAAGCCTCAGCAGATGAAAGTAATGAATTCACACATGGGTCCCAATGGGTATATGATTTCAGAAGTGGACTGATGTGGCTAGCTACTGGCAAGGCCCAGTGAACCTGCCCAGCCGCGAGTGCTTCAGTCCTGCTGAGGATAGGTTGAGGAGGGCGCCGCAGCGGCAATCCAGAGCAACTTGGCACGTCCAGAGCAACTGTCCGGGAGCGTGTTGTTTTGTGAAACAGACCCAGGGCTGTCTGGCACAAGGAACAATGAACATTCAAGAAGCATTCGAGGGAACTGTGATAAGAACCTCTCTATTCTGTTGACAGTGTCTTTTCAGTTTGTTTTCCCTAAACCGGACTCTTTGCATAAAAACATACTTGTGTGAACACAAGAGTTTGAACAGGTTGCTTATCATCAATAATAGAGTTCACCTTGCTAATGTCCCAATCTGCCAATCTCTTCCCGGTGACACGGACTTCCTCGTGTCTCCACGCCGCTCAGGACATTTCGATTTCCTTGTCTCCCGGGATGCGCCTCATGTCGCTCGTCAGAGGAAGGAAGGTGCTCAGAGTCTGCTGGGACCAGTGGCTCACCGGTACTCATCTGAAGCGACAGGAGTCTGAGTGGCTAGTGGCTGGATCTCTGAGATGAGAGCATATGGGATGATGATTCATGGGCGTGAGATCATCTGTTGATAGGATTTGCAAATCTATTATTTATGATAGGGTTGATTCAGCGGTTTGGTGTCCTTGAATGGTTGAAGTCAGATTGTTGACGACGACGATGTCACGCTTTTGCATGTGGGCTCGGCGGGCTCGGACAACATTCCAACCTGTGAATACATCGAGTGTCTTAGTCATTACCCATGCACTAATATGTTTTGTTCCTCATCTAATTCAGGGATAATTGGAACATCTCTCTCAAGCTGACACATGGGCCCCATTATCATTTTCTCCACAACTTTCAGACGATGAATATCTAATATACCAAAGTAGGTCCTAGTGACGTGGTGTACCCCGTGCCAAGACATACAAGAACCACAACCTTTTAACAGTTTTAGACCCAGGAAATCCCTGGTGGGAGGGAGGCAACATCTTTACCTCACAAATGCGGAAGGTCCCTGGCTGGTCCCTTGGCCGGCCCGTGGCAGGAAAGATGGCTTGAATGGACCATCCAAAACACAACCGCCTGAAAACCCACTGGAGAAACACCTGAAGGATGTATTGACTGGACCATGTAACACCTGAATTGGACTGAGCATTCGGTTTGACCGTCACCGACTGGACTTTCTCAGAGCATTCGCTCCGAGGCTCCGACCCTCGGGCTTGGGCAACTTTCAGCTCTTCTCCCGGCGCAAGGTCGGTCGGTCGAGACCCTCGGTCGATCGCTGGGGAGTCGAGCTGGGCCAATGGAAGCGTTGAACTTTCAGAAGTAGAGGAACCATGAGGAACCAAAAGGAGAATAAGAACCAGAGGAGCTGCTTGCTAGGGCAACGAAGCCATGTTTTCATTTAGCCCATTGGTCGTTTAGTTTGGACACAAGAGCACAGAAAACCTGATATAGAGCAGGTACCATTTAAAGAACTGTTGGTCAAGGCCCTATTTATAGATTTTGACACACAATCCTTTTGAATCCCAAAGATTTTGTCAGGCCACTTCTCATCCACAAGAACACACTAGTGGTACCAGTGCTCAGTCTATTTGTCCTACATTTGCAGAGATGAATCGACGAACCCTTCTCCAAATGGGGTGGCTATTCTTGCACCTGAATTGGTGGGCCACCAACGTCAAACATGCTGGCGAGGGCTTTGACAGCTCCACTCTCCGCACCATTCATCCTTGATGCGATATGAGAGTGTATGCTTTGTGCAGGTTGGACCGACCAACAACCCCAACGAGGCTTGCCAGCTTTGCTCATCATGTACAGCACGGGATGGGCATGTTGTTTGAGTCATAGAACCATTATAGGACAATCAGTATTGTACACAACAAGTCATCAAAGGAACCGTAGCATGTTGCAAAGAGGTAGCATTATCTCACCCAGAGGTGAAGTTTCAGAGACAACATGTGGAGGCAACATATTGAGACCAATTTAGACCACCCGCACTTGCACCAAGAGAAAGATGCAGAAAACATGGCTCCTGAGGTTGCCTTCGGCATCCACAATGACGGCAAGGTCATCGATGTGTACAATGACAAGCCAAATCCACCCCGTCCGGAGCCTGGGAGTTGCTGTCCTTTACAAGACGTGGAATAGAGCTTACTTGCTGGTGGTGGTGATGGCCCTCATCTGCTGAGCTGAGGGTGCTTGGTTTTACTAAGTGTCTCTTTCCGGGCTTTGGGCACATGGTCTCGGAGGATTTGCACCGGTTCAGAGGCAAACCCGGCATACGTGCATGATGCAGATGTGATTGATGCATCATATATTTAATTGTATACTGTAGTCAGAGTGAAGGCGGTTGGTGAAGCACGGTGAAGCTCGATGCTTTCTAAGTCTTTTAGTTGGCCGATCTCACCGTTATAGACCTGAAGCAGCTGAGAATGCCTGAAGCAGCTCTCAACCCGGTCGTCAAACATTTGGATAGAATTGGTACGACTATACGTGTTGGCAACAAGCGGCACTAAAGAAAGTTCTTCCTGCAGAGCACTCCGGCAGCTGTGAGTGTTTCTACTCTACATGATAACCTGTTGATTTCAGGTGGGACAGCACGGAGTAACAAGCCACACCCTCCTCCATGTCCTCACAGACTCCTCCAAGTCCCTTCCGCGGGCCTTGTCACCCTGATTCCACACTGACAAGTCTTCAAGAAGCTCGAAAAGCGCTCGCTCCGCCAGTAATCAAATTTCAGCCAACGATCGCAATTGAGCTGAGTGCCAGCTAGTGTGGCCGCATGGCCCAGATAGCGACACCACACTTCGGGCATGGTCAATAGTTCTAGATTTGAAGAATTGAGAGAAGAGGGAGGTAGACATGTTACTCTACAGAAGCTTTCTGGACATGATCATGGCCCTGAGTCGTCCCTCGGTAGATGGATGTGGCAGATAGTCGTCCTTGAGCTTGAACTTTGAGAATGTGCATGGCTAGACTGAAACCAGCAGACCAGATGTGGTTTCACTTTGGTATAGGTTAGGGGCCCTGGGTGTTTGTTTTCCCCATTGGTGAATCCCCATTCTTGGGCAGATGTTGCGTATATCATTCCGGTTCCGCAAGTCCAAGTCGAAGCCACACCCAAATGCTATGCTGACATTGTGGATGTTTCACTGGATTCGTCCAGGGTGTAGTCGAAGAGGTCGGACGATCACGCCTGGTCGAAAGAAGGATCGTCTTCGTGCGGGCTTCGGGTGGGCTGTTTGGCAGACACCAAGGAGAGAAATCCTCCAAAAGAAGTGAGTCCCTCCAACAAATATGGACGCGTGTGACCTGGCCCTTTGGAAGACGCCGTTTCCTTGCTTCATATGGCAGACAGGCCGGCCAATTCCGACCTGAGGAGCACGACTGATGGAGCACGACTGCATTTCGGGGTGCTTGGTCGAAGACGCACCACAAGTTACTGGTACGTTCAAACAAATTGAGCACGCCACTGACTGCTGCTCAAGGCATGGAATGAGGGAATGGATCCAAAATGATCCAAAGAAACTTCTATTGGGGGCTCATTCCCTCATTTTCTACAAAGCACACAGTCCGACCAGTGAGCAGTAGATTCAAATCTGGAATTCTTGCAGACACGGCTCAAGTCTCAGCAAAGCTGTGACGCAAAAGTCGAAGCTGTGATGGGCGGTTACAATTACAACAGCATGGAGTTGGAGGACTGCAGCTTTGCCTTTCAGTGCAGGTTGTTTACAAGGCATATAATTCTGCCTTTTCACATGTTTTCACCTTTGTTCACTGTCAGGAAGCTATGTTGCCGCCGTTGCCGTCCGCCTTTGGATGGACGCTTGAATGCCCTCCCATCTCACCGTCCCAAGATCCCAAGCAACGTAAAAAAGAATCAAAAAGGCTCATTCCAGGGACCCCCCCCTCCACGATCCAGAACGAACCCATCGGCCTAAGAGGGACGCCGGGGCAGCCGGCCGCCCGCAGGACTTGGAGCAAGGCCTTCGAGCCGTGAGCTCTGGAGGAAACGTCTTGAGCTGCGAAGAGCTTTGCGGCCTCAAGGCGCGGAGCCGTCCAGCGGGCGCTGCGGAGTCCAACGCAGCGGTGAGGGAGGGTGACGGGAGAGGACAAGAATGGTGGCGGGAGAGTGTCTTGGGGTTATCAGGTTGTCACTGTGTGATCTGTAAGGCATGAGTATTGTGATGGAGTTTGATTCATGGATATTTGTGCTCTTCAACTGGTTGTTTGTTGTTTGGGATTCCAGAAGGTGATGTCCTTCTGATTGTTGAAGTGATTGGGGCTTGAATTGCGCCCTGTGGATTTCGCGTTGCCTTTACCCTATGACGTTTAACTGGTATCAATGTGCATGTGACTCCATGTCTTTCAAGGGGCGCGGCATATTCAAACCACAGATGTTCAACATGCCCTCCAGAACAATGCGTTTGTTGCCTTGAGCCACACAGAAAACATTTGTGTTAACAAGTATAGTCAAATAGCTTGACATTGTAATCTCAAAGGCTAAAAGGTGGTTTAATCTCAAAGGCTCAAAGGTGGTTTAATTTCAAAGGCTCAAAGGTTTGTAGATATATGATGATATGTGCACTTTTTTTGTTATTTCTCTAAGCATGGATCTGACTGTAAGTACCTGGACAAACTTGGCTGAAGCACCCACCTGAAGCACCCAGCCACCTGGTCCGGTGGATGCCTGTGAATGCCTAGGACGCCTAGCCGTTCCCGATCGATCCCATCCTGAGACAATGAGTTGCCCATAGCCGATGTGCGAACCAGAGCCAGGCGGGGTTGATGCTGCTGAAGGCCAACCAGAGCCAGGCTGGCAGAGTTGTTGCAGACGTCCATCGACTCATGATCGACTCATGAGGACTAGCAGATGGGGAGAGGGATAGTTGCGTAGGGGATGTTGGCAACTGATAAGGCCTTGTCAGAGTTCGACAGAGTCTTTTTCTGGTCTATATCCGTAGGCATGTGACGTTCCCTATAAATGTGCAACCAGGCCAACGAAAGGTGCCGAAAGGAGCTGTTTTCATTCAATTATGCAATATTGATGCAGAGCACGCCCAGAGTATGAATGCAAGGGGGCTCGACCACTCTTGAACTGCGCTTTGGGTGTTGAGGCGATCCACTTCTGGGGCAAGATCCTGGGAAAGGACAGACGGATTTGCGCAGATGCGGATGACCGACGTGGGCGGAAGATGAGCTCAAATGCGTCAAGTGGGTTCGTCAGGTCTTAACCGTTTTGTTCAGAGGATTTATACAAATAAATACAACATAATACGCATAATATTTATACATTTAATAACTTTTTTGTTTTATATTGGACATATTCCGATGTCTTCGATCGACTGCATGTCAACATGAAGACTCGTTACCCATGCTCCCCACTGCTCTCACCACCAGGAAGCTGACTATTACATTGCGTAGCTCCTGACCTGTTTGCAGTGCACTCTTCGAGCACATTTTGCCTCTGGAATGAAGCAAAACAATCAGAGCACTCTGGTGACCAGATGTCCTTTGTCCTTTGCAGCCTCATTTGTGATTGAATCCAGATGTAGATTTTTTATAGACAGAAGTCGAAGGATAATCATTTGACAAAGGAGACCAATCTGTCTCATCCTTTGTCCTTTGACACATATCCAGAAGTTACTCTACAGATGTGCCAACCACGTGCAGACCGTTTCCAAAGAAGAACCATGCAAACTGGCTCTCAGTGAAGACTGCAATGGATTTTCCCCGATCGCCGCTGCCAGGTGTGCAGTCACTGGGTCCAAAGAGATGTATCCAATGAAGTGCTTCTTTTATGCTGGGGAGGACCGATGTGAAACGGGATCAAAAGCCGGTCACCCGGTCATCTCAGACTGTGCCAAGCACCATAGGAACACATCAGGAACAGATAGAACATCCTGTTCTTTTGGGGGGTGGGCGTGCCCATTGGTGAACTTCCAGTTTCCAGTTCTCAAGCTGTAAGCATTGGCTGCTATAGCTAGTAATATCGTTGCTCCGATAGACATCTTTTTGGGGAAGGGAAGCGCGTTTTAGCACAGGCCCAGGACGTGTCCCCAACCCAAATGCAACACCAAGAGGCCTAACATCCCCTAACCAACACCCAAGAGGCCGCCGAAAAGGAATAGAACACCCCGTCCATCACCTCAGCTCCACAGTGGTGCTCTCAGGACTTCAATTTCACACCGCTCCCAGAGCTCACCGAGGAGGTGGGACACGACTCGGTGCTGAATTCGGCGGTGAACCGCTACCCCGCGAGAAAGCTGGGCTGTTAGTGAGGTCATTGGAGGCCTTCAAGTGGATTGTGGCTTGCGGGAACCTCCTGGAACTACAATGGTTTCTTTGGATTGCAATCCTGCAATCCAAGATTGTCAGCACTCCCAAGCAATTATTTGCGGAGAGCAGGAGGCAGAAGGTTAATTTTGATAAAGTTAAATGCATGTTGCGTATGTATGTTTTCTGAGTCGGCCACCATGGCATCCACGAACGAAGTGAAGGTGAAGAGTGAAGGGTGTCGATCCGCATGTTATGGAGGCTGCTGTTGTATCCAGTGTTGTGCACGTCACAGACACACAATTCATCCAGTATCCCAGATCAAACATTTTCCAAATCAAAACCAACACACTGCTCTGCAGGTGGGTGAAGCAGTGGCTGCTCTCCAGCTGGTCCTGAAGCTCAGAGGGCTTTATTTCCACCTCTAAGTGGGCACAGTTCCACCGATTGGCACCGATAGGCCTGAGAGTCACAGAATCATAAAGAAAAACAATAAACAATGGCCAATGGCTCATGAAGTGAAGAGGTTAACGTTTAAGGAAGGTTAAAGGATGTTATGGGGGTCACAGGTGCCCGATTTCCGTCATGGTTCTTCTTGTCACGTGTAAATTCTTCTTGTTGGCCCGTAGCCATGTCGGTGAATCCAACTTGGTGTCCTCGATTCTGCATGACTCTCAAAAAACGCAGACGGGCGCTTTTTGGTGCGACAAGACCGTTGAAGGGTACCTCACATCAAAATCCGTTGGACACTATATTACTATATATTCGTTGCGCTGGGGATGTTCTCCGCAAAATTACAACGTATAGCGTTGATTTAAACAGTCTCAGTCTCTCTATTGATTGGATTTGATTGGGATGTGAACGCGGATCGGACGTCCAATGGCCTCGTATTTGGACCTTCCTTTTGCCTGAATGGGACCTGAGTGTGAGGACGACCTGAACGGTGTGACTTTTGGGGTGCCACTTCAGCTCTTGTGGGTGAGACGACCGAGAAGACCTTATACTCGGTTACTCGGCGTCAAAAAAGCCATCCCTTGGGTGGTTTTGTGGTGCCCGGCCAGACCACTCCGCTCACGGGCAAGCCAAGCTCCATGCTGGAGACAGTGGAAGGTGCTAGGGTGGCTGGTGCAGTGGTCGAGAGGCACTGATATGTGATAGTTGAAGAAAGCAACACGAAGCCACCTAAAGGATTTGTTCAATGTTCCGAGTCCACACTGGCATGTGGGTGTTTGGGTACATGTTTATTTATTTTTCCGGATTGACAGAGACTCACCGATTTGTCTTTTTGGGTGTACGATGATTGCAGACGGAGGCCTGCAAGGTCATGTATGGTAGATGTGTAGCTTAATCGGGCTGATCAGGCATTCCACCCCCCTGCTTTTTTGACTATTAATTATGTTTGTTTTGTGTTTGGCCATTGTTTGGTATCCAATAAACCACCTGGACTGGGAGGTACTGGTTTGTGCCGCGACATCACACCAAAAGTCGACCCATCTCACCCATGTCCTGTTTTTCTGTATGGTTCATCAGCTGCAGGGATCTACTCGGCCCCCGAACCGCTTCTGTGGTTCAGGTGCTGAAGGTCAAGCGTGGAGCTCAGACGGGAGGTGAGTACAGTGTGTGTGACATATTGATCCACATTTAGATCTGCTAGATTCTGATAGTTAAGCATCCTCAGTTACTAAACCGTTGTTGTCGGCCATTATTCCCAAGTTACAATATTTTGAACAAGAGGTAAATCATCAATTGGTGCGGTCCTTTGAGCCAACAGAAGCCAACACCGACTTCATTTGAGCATGAGCTCGGTCCCAAGACCGAGCATCCAGGCATTTCATGCGACCAAGTTGCCCATATTATATGTGCCATCTTCATGTTACAAAGGAACATAATTCAGGGTACGCGCTTGACGCAATTTGCATGCGTTGCCGGCTTAACAAATCCATGTCCAGGACATGGGCAATCTATCTATCTATCTATCTATCTATTTGTATATATATATATATCATATCGTTCACCCTGGCTGGTATTAGGATGACTGCATCGAGTGATGTTGAGTTCCAAGCTCCAATAAGTGCTAATCAAGAATCCAGCCCAGTGGGTTCAGCTACCTTTGTATAAAAACCAACACTTCCAGCTCTTACGAACCACGAGTAAGTTGTCATGTGCTTCAGGCTGAGATATTGGACACTGAACCTTGCGCGCTTTCAAAGTCACTTCCTGCTGTGATCTCATGTTTAGAATCAATCCTATGATTGGCTCAATTTGGTGCGTCTATGACTGTTGCTGGCCGAGACCTTCACCAGCCGGCAGCCGGCATGTGTAAATGGTATGGGTTAAGACGACCGCTCCGGAATCTTGAGAAGATTTGCTGTTTCGGCCTTGTTCAATTTCGGGCATTTGGGGTCTCCATGAACCCAGGACCGAAGGTGTGCATTGCTGCGATCCGGCAAGCCCGGAACTGAGGCCAAGCTCACAGAACTGCAGCGACTCGCACTGCTGGTGCAGGAGCAGCTGTCGATACGCATCACGGAGTCGAGTCCGTCCAAATCGGTAACGTCTCCAGGATTGAGAGCCGCTGATATATCCAGGTATTTGTTCCAAGGTTGGGTGAGTGATGGTGAGTGACTCCATTTTGAATCTATCCTAGAGTCCTAGAGTTCATTTTCATGAATGAGGTTGTAGGATGTATATGATGTGTTCCATAAGTTTCATGCGTTCGTCGTTGGATTTAGACTTGGCGATACTTCACGAAATCTACCAGGGAGTTACGTTCCTTGAAATCAGAGGGTCAATATAGATGTCTATTGTTTGATGTATTTCTGTCATAGAAAAGGACATTAAATTGTGGTTTCAACAGCAGTTTGCTCATTCCCCTCCTTCACGCAGGCACCCCAGTTGTTCAACAGACGTTGTTATGAGACCAACTGTAGGCTCAACATTCCAACCATCCCCAGCATGAGATCGTGCCAGCCCTCTCATGTCACGCGCTTTGGTGCCAGGAGATTGACTTTGACACTGCTGCTGTACCCAAAGGCCAGGTTGAAGCCCTCCATCAATCAATTGCTCATAGTGCAAAAATCTTCGTCAGTTGTGGATTGTCAGGACCTTTTTAGAGTCTAAGTGACCTTAAAGTCACTTGGAAGAACCAGGAATGTACCAAGCAAGTCTGCCTGAATTCACATGTGTGTTGTAAACTTTGATGTAACGAGCAACTCTGATTGGATGGCAAGCATCTTTGGGGCGCGTTTTATTTTCAGAAGAAAAGATTGGATCTCACCCATGACCCTGCCTACCAGTCAGAGCTAGGCTAGATTCCTTTCAAGTGACCTGGCGGTACAAGGACAGACCTGAGCATCAATGTTGTATATGCATTGGGTTTGTACTATTACCTGTAACAGTTAGTATACAATTATCATGAATTAGCACGATGTTTGAACAGGGCCTTTATTAACCATCATCATCCACTGTTACAGGCATTAGGATAGACCGAGACCCAACGTCTACGCAACAAATTTGATTCCATTTGAGTCGCCCCCAGGACCTTTGTATCCAGGGCAAGCGAGGGGTCCCAAATCACTCGTCGTGGATGGCAGGCGCTCACTCTTTGACAGAGGCGCAGGCGCTCACTCTTTGACTACACCAGTTGCAATCGGGAAGATGCTGTGGAGTGTTTCCCACAATTTGTTGGCAATACTATGCAATAGTTTTGACAGTTGGGATCCTGTGAGACTGCAAGGACCTTTTTACTTATTTGATAGTGATGATGTCACACATAAATATAAGACTTCGGGGCCAGGACACCCTGCTCAAAGCCAATGCTGCATACTGGTCTCCCTGTTATCCAGCTGGCTAAGGGGATTCTTTTGAACCCCCAAACACCCATAGCTGCACGGTCAGCACCGCCTCGACGACCACGACGACCAAGGTCTGATGCACGGAGCATCAGCACGCGCGAAGACCGCGCCGCTCGACCGGTGCCCAGGAGGTGGTCCCAAATAGCGCCTTTCGCGGCCTGGAAGCCGCCAAGGCCGATTCGCCCAGCGCACCGACCGCCCGAGGGGCGCGGGGTTCTGGTCTTCGTTGGGGGGATTCCGGAGCCGCCGGCGGGTGGGGGAGGTGAGTGGGCCATGGGGTGCAGACCGCCTCGAAGGTTTGAAGAACGTTGAGGAAAGTGAACCTGGTTTTTGGTGTCATCAATGACCCGGTGACACACCCCTTTGCCAAATGACCGTTTTTCATCGTTAATTATTCCCCAGATAGCTGGAAGCTATAGGGGTTCTTACTTCTCAATGGATGGGTTCCGGATTGCGGAAATTGGCTGCCGCTGCCGCCTCGTTTCCCAAGCTTGTCTCCCTTGATGATTTCGCTTTTGGCTGCCGCTGCCGGCTTGTCTCCCAAGCTTGTCTCCCTTCATGATTTCGCTTTTGGCTGCCGCTGCCGCCTTGTGTTCACATTGGTAAGCCTGTGGTTTGCATCAGCTGAAGATTGTGGGATGGGAGGAAAGAGAACATGTTCCCCAAGAATGGTTATTTCATTGTTGTTTGATGTCTTTGTTTAGTTTCTCTGCTGGTTGATGTCTACAAGCTTTACTCAACATCGTGAGGTTTTGCCGATTCATGCCCCATGCTCGAACATCTCAGGCAGAAGAGGCCGGGATATCATGAGACGTAAGATGAAGCAGTCCTGTACTGTAGCTCTTAAGACTTGTCACGGAGTACCTGTGACAATTAGCTCAATCGCCTTTGTGCTTGGGATCTCTTTCTTGTTACACAACACCGATGGAGGCCACCTCATTGGCGAACTACGTTCACTTCAGACCTCCTGCCAGCGTACCTCGCTGGAAGGGGGATGTTGAGATATGAGATCTCATGATGCGTGGAATCTGTGCAATAATTTCTTGATAGACCAGTGACAAGAACGTTCCATGTTCTTGGTGGGGAAGAAGAGAAGAGACATCTCATGACAACAAAGTCCGTGATTGAAGAGATTTTGCCCTGTTCCTACGAAGGTAAGACTGAAGAGGACATGGATGGAGTGAGAGGTCTTTTCGGCCCATATATGAAGAGGAGCGGACAATAGCCAGTCAAAATTGAAAATGCCACTAATTCATTTGGGACCTACAGTATGATATTAACTTTCTCGAATTTATGATTACATCTCTGGTTGAAGAATGTAATTGACTACTCTGGGTCTCGAGGTGTGCTTGGCAAGTGGGTCAAACCAATATGGGGGGGCCATCATCCTAGTTTATAACCCTTTTGTGATCAGACAACTATCACAAAGGCCGATCTTTGTGCATGCTTTGCCTCATCCATTGTCTCTCTTGGAAATCGGCGGTGTTGTTTCGTGCTTGCCTGAGGTGGTTAGCTTGAAAGCTCAAGCATCCAATGATGCCAGGAAACTCAGCAGTTTGGTGCTTTGAGGGTCAGACCGGCCGCATCGGCCGTTGGATTCGAGGGACATGTTTGGATCTGAATGGATATGTAGAGAATTGTAGAGTCTTATTGCTGAATATGTGTTGACCGGATCAGATATAACCTCATAGAGCACATATATATATATATAATATAGTATATAGTTGTTCTTCATGTTGTCATCCATGGTTTTCTAGGTAAGTTAACGGTTTATATGTTGCTTCTTACTATCTATTCATATGGATTTTGGGGTCTCAAGTTCACTGTTTTTGACTTCTCGCAACTCTCAAACATGTGTAGACATTGCCGATAGATGCCAATAATCCAGATTTGACTCTCAAACTTCAAATGTGATGAGAAAACCAGAGACCTTCCTAAAATAAAACCTTGAAAGATGTCAAAAAGCCCAAGAAGAGTAATCCAAGGCACAGTTTGGGATATTGTTTGACACACTACACAGTTTCTACCTGGCTGTCTGTCGGTGCTGAAGCCTACTGCTTTTCTTTTTCAGACCTTGCCATGCACCTGATTTGGCTCACTGGATCTCAAGTTCTTGAGCTTCCACCCCACACCCTGGCCGTGCGCGACTTCACCACTCCAACTTCACCAGGTCGGACCGGTGGCCCAAGCGTTTCGTCGTGTCCGTCGCCCGGCACCGGTGCCAGTTGGAGTTCCAGCAGAACTTCCTGGAGACCCTGGAGACCGATTTGCCCAAGGGCTGCTGGGCCTTGCGCCAGGCCGACCCCTGGGGACACCTGCGGCCGATTGGTCCGATGGACGGAGGGGTGAGGGGATCAGCCTCGCCGGCGACACATCGAAGTTCCCAGTACTTTGGGCATATGAGAAGGGCATGAAATGAAATTGATCCATGATCCAAGTGAACAGAATTTGGACAACTTGGTTCTTGTTTGCAAACAGTTTGGCCGGTTTGCCATGGTTAACCTGGATCTTGTTTTCACAACGCCCACTGGCGGTTTCCTGGTAATTATTGAGAGACATGTGCAACAATCGAACAGGCTCTTGGCTCAGTCTTCCTGGTCGTGTTATGTTCAGTGCGCAAATCTAGCTTGGCTACGTCAAGAATATGTCTTTTCGTTCTCAAGCAACGATACCCTTTGACTCGTCGACATTAACTGACAAGAACCATTGTTTTTAGAGGAAAAAGGTCTTTGCAGTGGCCATTTTCCACTTCCATCTTAGTGAGTCGGAGTTGAGTGAATACCAAACACCAGTGTCTCCCATTTTGGGGTGTCTATCACGGTCCGGTCCGGCGTGCCCCGCAACCGTGAGGACCCTGCCACGGCATCCGTCACCTTGCGCTCATTGCTGGGGAGCACGTGGGGAATTCATTGGGTAGACTGACATTCCCTACACCTCCAGTCGTACCTCCTCAGAAGGTATGACTGGACCCTCCTGGCACCCACCCCAGTCCCACCTTCTTAGAAGGTACGACTGGAGGTCTAGGGATTGGATGTAGTTGATGTTGATCAAGGGGACGTGTGGTGTCCCTTTCATGAGTCCAATGGCCGACTTCTGTTGAGGTAGATTGACAAAGGCCCCCTTTTGGAAGGAATCTAGCCAGTATATAATAATATATATATGGAATGCATTCTGGTAGAAGGTGAAACCACACAGAATGTTGTTTACTGACTAGATGAGGATGAGGAGTTGTTGCTATGGAGGTAGGTCGAAAAACTCTTTTCAACGCAAATCCATTAAGAATTATTGATCAATCATCGCGGTACCCATCAACACAGTTTTTGCTTACGCTCGACTCGATTTATCGACATTGAGATCGTTGGATTATCGCTTGGAAGACCAATCATGGAAGTGGGCATTCTGCATACCTCGAGTTGGTATACTATGGTATACAAATCCGCAGTGCCCTTTGCAACATACAAGCTTCCCTAGGCTAGAAGAACCTGTCATCGACACCCGATTCTTGCAGCCGTTTACTTATCCAAAGGTTCCACAGGTGCAATAAAGTTACAAGCATTTTGCATGTAATTGTTCTATACTCCTACAAGCAACAACTTCAGGTTGACATGCATTCGACATCAACATCACCATGTTTGATGCCGGCTTTTGGATGTGTCCTCGCTCGGATGTCGCTCCAGGCTTTGGCCCGGCTACTCCGCGTTTCACCTGCCCGGCACCGGAAAGCCGGGGTCGCCCAGCCACACCGGCCGTGCCTTCGACCGGGTGCCGGCCCCGTGTGCCGGCCCCGGGGCCATGGGGGGGGCCCGTCGGAAGACGGGTGATTCGAGGGCACGGTGAGTTGAGCTATGAAAGTTTGTACTAATCCCCCCCAAGTGTTGGATCATCGCTGGCTGGTATTGTTTTGTGATTGAGTCCTTGGAGAACATCCAAGTGAGAGCTTCAAGCATGGCTTTGACAAACCCTTAAGTGCGTGCTTGATAAACATTGACCAAAGAATAAGAAGCAACGGGGAGGGAATCTGTGAAAAGGGAAGTGTAGGAAACGCACAGAGATCTAATGAGCAATTCCTCATGGTCGTAGAACTCCCTTAGAATCGAAGAGACTACACTGAGTATTGTGTCACTTGCTGGACACCAGAGAAAGACGGACCGTAGTTTTGAACACTGCTTGGACATCAAATGACTACCAGGAGCCACAAGACGGGGGGGGTTTTAGTCCCTAAGTGAGTGGACAATGGGCACCCCTATCCTCCAATAGGCACCCCTTGTTGTACTTCGTTCGAGGGATCCTGTAGACCATTGCAGCACATGCTGTCACATGCCCAGCGCCGTGTGCCCACCTTGCGGTGTGAGGTTCGGTGGGGTGTATTTCGGCTATGCCACCAAGAACAACGACTTGGCCTTCTTGATTTGAGGCCAGGCAGAGGGGATGCGGGAACATACAGCTAAGCGATGGTAAAGAAAGTAATGGTATATAACTTCGGCACACAGAAACTGCAAAGGGTTTCTGGTTCTTCTCATAATATCTCGCTCTTTCCTCAAAACATCGACATGTTCAGCCCGCTTGCTACTCTTGGTGGTGCAGGCCTTGATTTTCTACCAGGTTTTCATACCTTTTGGATCCTTTTGGTTTCTATGTTCCAAGGTTGCAGGCCCCGCAGATCGCCCCCTGAGGTTCAGATCCTTTCATTTTGACCAGTCGTTTCGCTTCTGGGCAGGTGGCGCAGTGGCTACGGTCGTTGGCCACTGAGGCTTGGTTGGAATCGGATTTTGGCTGTTTGAAACCGTGTACTCAACAGGGCTTGACCCTTAGCAAAGGACCTATGGACAGCCAAGATAAACGTTGGAATAGCTATAATCAACCTCATCTTGTGTTCTGTGTGCTGCGTTTTGCGAATTTGCACCATATGCTATACGAGCATATCAGCTTGCAGGGGAATGAATTGAGTTGTTTGAATGCCAGTTGATTGTTTTGCATTGAGAGTGACTTGCGGAGGGTTCACTCGAATTGCTTGAACCCAAAACCATATTCCTACGAGCAAGATGTTTCAGTGCACAACTACAACCATCTTGATCAAATAAAACATGAACATGTTGGTTGGAGTACGTCATTTTTACTTTTGCCAGGTAACAGGATGACTGCGATACTAGGTATATTTTGTTGTTCAACCTTTGCTTGAAAGCATTGAGCCCACTGACCTTTTTTTTCAGGTGGGTTGAAACCCCAACCTGGCATGATTCTGGCATAAACTTCAGGGCAGCGCACCGGGAACTGGTGTTGTCAAGAAACAAGTCCTTTCAAGCGAGTTTGATCAGCAGGTGAGAACACAACATGTGACAGTAGCTTTGCTTGGTGGGTTCACTTGGCAGCCGTAGGCTGTAGCCGTGTTCCATCCAATTCCAAACAATCACTGCATGACAAATACCCCAACTCAAAGAGTATGGTTTGCCTCAAATTCTCCTGAACCCATCACAGCCGGACATGTTCTTTCTTTTTGTCCGTTGATCCGGTGCTTTTGGTTCGTTGATGAGCATTCATGACACGCGGCTGAACTATCAAACGTTCGGTATCGACTTGATTTGATAGACCTTCCAACGCAGCGCTTTCTTCCCACGCAGACGTGGTCTATTTGCTGTATTCCGTTCCTCCGTTCCTACGCAGGTGTTTGGCTCACCCGCATGATCTGGACGATGCCAGGCTGTGTGTATGGTGTGGATGCCAAGCTACTCCAAGCAGGTATTGGTCGGCTCAAAGCACGTCAGTGCTTGAATTATACGTGATATGGAGCTACCAACAATAGCTTTGGAATATGAGCAGTCCGGAAGTACTCGAGCGTCTACCAGCTTCTTGATGTTGGACTTCGAGGTCGATGGATTCCTATCAGGTTTGATCCATTAACCAGAGTAATTGGACTGAGAAATGGGCTGATTTGGGTTGATATGGCCCGCTGTGTAGTTGCTGTTTTGCTTTTCTCAGGGATATAGTATACGACCATAGTAGCGCACGGGTTGCAGAAGGCTGATATTGGGTGCGTTCAAGCAGCATGAGCCAGGGAAACAAATTACAAGATGTTGGAGACATTGTCTTTCATAAACTTAGTATTTGTATATATACACAAGTGACATGGTAAAGAGGCTTTCTACCCTCTTTGTTGGACCAACTGAGACTGTGCCACACCCGTGTCCTGCGCGTTTAGACCACGCTTGGAGGAAAAGTACCGAGGTTCTCATGCTTTGGAGGTCACTAGACCGGGAAGCTCTTTGGGAACTCACTTGGATCCTTCAAGGACTGCAATACTTCAAGTATGTTTTTGCAATGCAGGTGTGACTCTGGCTGCGTTTGTGCGCGATAATTTTGCAGCAAGAAGAGCCACATATGCACAAATGTCACTGGAAAATGTCCAATTGCCAATGTGTTGAAAGTCACGGAATGCCAAACATCTATGAGATTATAGTTCACCCCGTTCGGACCCCTTCACGTAGCCTAAAAGGAACAATTATCAAGGGCGATCACTAGCCTTGGTCTGGTGCTACTTCCTTTTTTGGCGTATCTCGGAGTTATTGCAGGGGAGAAGGGATCGTCAGCTATAATAAATGTCGAGACGGCAGTTCTCACCTTCGCCATGGTCGGCGAGACGACTGGCCTCCTTGCTGATCCTTTTCGGTTGGCATGCTGCCCATGAGGCGTTTGTCCCATATTGTCAGAGGGTGAGACGATGCAGCTCAATAGCAAAATGGACTGACTCTTTCTTACCTCACAAGCAATGATTTCGTTGGGAGGACCTATATCCGTTCCTTTGTAACAGGTGCATTGTGACTGACTAATGTATAGTATGTGTATTTGATGGATAGCTGTTTAGGGTCAGGATGGCTGCACATTATGTATAACTTTCTACCTTCCGCGCTTTGTGCAGAATGATTCTTGTTCAAAGCAACAGAGCCAGAACTCTTGTTTAGCATCCATGCAAAACACTTTAACTTAGGAAGTTTGCGACTGAACGTTGCTTTTGTGTTTGGTTGTAATCATTGTCTTCAAGATAATGGGCCGGATCAGGAATGACAATCCTGTTGAGGAACCTGGTTTGACAAACTACGATCAAGCATTTGGCCTGCACAGGTTCCTTTTCTCCCTTTTGGACAGATTTCAACCTACAATGCAGCACACTCAGCACTCACATAGCTATTGACTATTGATGTGCTAATAACCCCTGACAGGTGCAGGCACAAAAAGCCTCAACAAGTAGGGGTTGTTAGAACAAGAGCCCTGCCCCTCATTGTGAACATAGATGAATGAATTAGTCAGTTCAGTGTCAGGTCTTTACTGCAACGCTTGGAACGGGAAGACTGATGTGGTCTTCTATCTCATAGGCTTTCCCAAGGGGCACTAGGGTTGGGAAGCTGCGCTTTGTCCAAATGCAGGGATGGCGCACCTTCTTTTGGGCCCGACAAACACAACTGTTTTGAATCGACACTGAGCATGACTGGGCACTGAAGCGGGTCGCGAGGGTTTTCCCGACCTTCAAGTCCCGAACTGCAGAGCTAGGGGTGTTTTCAGTGCAATGCTTGATCCCCTTGCACAGCTGAGTACAACAGTCTCCCCTTGGTAACTGAACCAGTGCAGGTTCTTGGTTGCTTTAGGGGAGTCCAATATAGTCCAATGCAGCCTTTTTCCTGAGAAGACCTCAGTAGCAGCCAAGGCGTTCCACTTTCTCGCACTGCTGTTGGTCAAAATGGGTGGAAAGCTACAACACAAGAGGAACAGAAGAGAAGGATCTTGGATTGTTTGTCAAAGTCCCAAGGTGAATGGATGTCCACACTGAGTATAGCAAAAGCTGTGGTGGGAGGCAGTGGCATTAAGAAGGATGTGAACAAGCTTCTTTACCAGCTGTGCAAAGCAGGTCAGATTGTCCAGACGAGCATTGAAGGAGACACAAATTGGCATTGGATGCTAAAAGCAACAGAGAACGCCAGGGACACCAGCACCTCGACAATACATGACAATATATACTGTATTTTCTTTCGGGTGGGCCAAGGTAGTTCTGTCTCACACCCGTGGGCAGGTACTACATTTGTGCATCTACCCATTAGCTGCCAGTTCTTTGTCAATCGCAAGGTGTTTTTCTGCGAATGCCAGTGGCTATGGCTCAAAAAAGCAACAATCTGGGAGCCGTAAGTATTAGACATGTTTCGATCATTTCAGATATCTTGTTCAATGTGTTTCCTTTCACCAGTGGGTTTGATGATGACACCATGTTTTTGTTTTTGTTTTTATAAATGCAGGTTTGTGTCAAAACATAATTTTAGAATCTAGAACCTACTCTGGAAGAATCGTTGGGAACGCGAGGGAAAAACCTTCCATGCTCGTTTGGGTCCGCCTGAAATTTAGCCATGAGGCCAAATATGACATAATATGACCAAGGTTCATGTGCCGTGTTTCCATGGGAGGGTTTCGGATCCACGACCTCAGTAGCAGCCAAGGCGTTCCACTTTCTCGCACTGCTGTTGGTCAAAATGGGTGGAAAGCTACAACGCGAGAGGAACAGAAGAGAAGGATCTTGGATTGTCTATCAAAGTCCCAAGGTGAATGCATGTCCACACTAAGTATAGCAAAAGCTGTGGTGGGAGACAGTGGCATTAAGAAGGATGTGAACCCGCTTCTTTACCAGCTGGTCAAAGAAGGTCAGATTGTCCAGACGAGAATTGAAGGAGACACAAATTGGCATTGGATGCTAAAAGCAACAGAGAACGCCAGGGACACCAGCACCTCGACAGCAGATGAAAGCGTGGCTGGACCTAGCCCCTTTTCTCCCGGAACCAGTACCGTACGACTGTGTCCTACTTCAACTTCAACACTTGATGATCTTGGTCGTGCAGCGAGTGATCGAGAATTTTTTCGTTCGTTGGCCAAGTCTTTGGAACCCAAGTATGCATCAGATGTTGAGAGGATGATCAACTCAACTCTTGTGACGGTACGCGAGACGGCTGACCAATACCTGGGAAATGGAAGCACCATGGCTACTGTCAACATGATCGGTTCTCGCAACTATGGCACTGACATAAATGGCAGTGATATTGACTATGTGCTGAACGTTTCAGGTGTGTCAATCCTTAAGGAATCGTGGAGAAAGTTTGCAACTGTTCTCAACGAATCCATAACCCTGAGAGGTTGTGTGATCAATGGAAGCAAAGATATTTCCATTCGCTTGAAAGAAGGTCCACTGCTCCAATTTGTGCCGAGGCATGGGGATTTTGAGTATGAAAAAGTGCCTTACTCAAATCTCATAGCAGGGAAGAAGAATGGATGCATTCGTGACGAGGTGGAGGAGAAACTGAAAACCTTCTTTGAAAACTATCCAGGAGCCAGGAATGCTGCCCGAGTGTTGAAGAGTTCTCTCATTAGTTGTGTCCAGGATC